GAAATTTGAAAACTGACATGAAATTAACATATACTTACTCCTGCTTATGGATACTTGGGATATATTTGGCTTTTTCATGCCATTCATTCATGATGGATCGAATGCATTTATCATTTATTTTCAAGACTATCTCAAAATCTTGTTCATTCATCTGTTCAAGAGCATCTTGCTCATTCATCCGTTCAAGAGCATCTTGATCATAATTATCTTCACAATCACCAGCACTTTAATACATAAAGAGTTATACATAAATCATGGTTTATAAACAAAATGGATCAGATAATAATAATGATGAATAGCTACCCAGACAACTCTGTTGTATCCTTGGGATCCCCTTGTTCAGACACTTCATTGGCAGAGTCACAACTAGAAAAAAGATTAAATGTTTAATATTAAGGGAAAATACTGCATAGCAATTCTCATCATAATTACCTGGTTGTCTTCAGTCGTTTGTTGGCCTCAGTTGATTGTGCCAAAAAATGTTTCCGAGAAGCATCTGCAGTTGCAACTACTGCAACATACTCAATGGTTTTCTAGCATGAAAAAAAGTCAGGTATTTTTATTACTTCAAAGTGGAACATTTTAAATCTGCAGAATAAGAATACACACCTTTTCATGATTGATCTTCTTCTGTGTAAAAAAAAGTGAGACAAATTCAAAAAGAAAACTAGTAGAGAGAAATACAGACCTCTTGGATTCTCTCTTGAGCAGCAATCTCCCGTATTTCATCCAGGTTCCGATTTGTAAGCAGGTTTTGTTTCTAGCAAAGACATCATGTTATAAGTATATATTATCATTACTATATCATGTAATAAATTATCAGGCATATGGCTCAGACACTCCTGACATCGCATGGCATGATGGGATCCAGCTGATCCAGACCATGACACACTTCCCACTTCGGGCATACACGCAGCATGCCTTCTGCGATAGAATCGCTCGACGCGCAGCCGCAGGGTGTTGTCAGGCCCTTCAGATATACGAAATGATGCACACTGGATGAAGCATACTTTCTAGTATACTTAAGACCACAGTGCTCTTCCTCCCCCTCCAGGTAAACGCACAGCAAACCTGAAACGACACGCAGCCGCGGGGCGTAGCATATCCCTTCTATCTAAAGGCATCTAGAGGAAGTAAACTGACCTTGAGATGGTTCTGAAAAGTTAAAGCTTTCTGGTACTTGCGGCCACCAGCGATATTCGTTCTCAGTAGAATTTCCAGTTCTTTCGAAAGGGCCATGTGTGAATCGTGAACCGATGCGCTCGGAAACTTCGTCACGAAAAAAACGTCCCAATCCATAACGTCCCCCCATTCTGTGCTAGCCCGATTCCAATATTCTATGATAATGACATATGCTAACAACTTAGTTTAATGAATTTTTAGAGTTGCGAAAAAAAAAAAGTTTACCAGGATAGTATAAGAGATCATTGGACGCGTCAGGACTACAAGCGGAAGTCATAGTATGTATGCTCTTTGACATTGAGAAAGCAATGCGGCGAAAATTTTATGCGCGTCTGAAGTCACGTGGTTTGACGGATTCACCACGAATGCTAATAGACAGGGGTAAATTATTATATTTATAGTGATCACAAGCATTTTTCAGCTATATTACGTGTTTTTATTCGTTCAATCTATGACATTTTACTAGTACCGTAGACCACTGAATATAATACCCCCCAAAATAATCTCCCCCAAAATTAGACCCGGGTACAATTTTTTTGCAATGTTCTTATTATATACCTGGGTACAAACAGTTTACACAATGCGTTACTAATAAATTATAAGTTGAACACGAAACATGACTAGGATGTTTTTATTACTCAACGTTTCGATCGTAATTACACTTACGATGTTACATATTACCAACACGCATCAATCTTGAATTGACATTTTAGCGAAGTATACTTAAATCTGAGTGAGAGTTTAAGAATGTACATTAACCAATAATGATATTCGCTCCTTAAAATCTTTCAAAGTACCCCCCTTGTACAATACCCTCCACCTCACATAGTACCCCTCGGGTACAACTCAAGTCAATCAAGATGTTTTAAGTATATACCCGGGGTACTATATTCAGTGGTCTACGGTATGTCCTCCCGCGCGATAAATAGACGCGAAATAACTTTACCATGGTGCTGCGCATCTGTTTTATTTGTGATTTACATTAAAACATAATAACTTGTCACTATCCTTATCATAAAAGCAGTTGACTGTAGTAAATACTACTTAATTAATGAAGAAATAACATATGTAATAAAACATTAAGCACAAATTTAAAAAAAACAACAACCAAGTGTGCCCATTTAGAGGGGAGGAGAAGGCTCCCAATAGCAGAGAATTAATCATGCCGAAAAAATTCTCAGCACTTAATAATGATAGCAAATAATAGAATGAAGGCCACATACTGTACACCAATAGTAATAGAACAAATTTAGTTTTATCTTATTAATATTATAAGAATTAGCAAGGCTGCCAAGACTACAAATGTAAATGCATCACCACAGTTGTAGTAGTGCAGTCAGGACTATTACTCGATATGGGGGTCGTCTAAAGCGGGGGAAAACACAAGAAATCAGTCCAATTAAATTTCAAGGATTGGCGAAGTTAACCAATCTAATTACAAGATCATGTGTAACATAAAATTCAAACAAGCCAAAAAAAGAAAATTCATAAATAACTCAAAATATTACTATAATAACTAGCCTTTGACTTCTAAGTAACAATGTTCAGCATGAAATTTTACTTATATATATTAAATATCAAACCTTTTTTCTAATTCATTTCTGATTAATTGTTGTTGTGGTTCAGATGCAAATTCTGAATTAATATTTGTTCAGTTTACCATAATTAATTTTAATTAAAAAAAGCATTTAATCAGTAATTTGTGGTATTATATTTCATCATAGAGCACTGTACATATGTAACTATGTGGTAGTGTGATAGTCTTGAATAGTTAGCTTTTTAGATCAGTACTATAGTATACAGTATAAATATTAAAATAAACGCATGTCCCTTTCAAAACTATTTCAAATGATAAAATTAATATATAGGAATACCCGTATATGGAAAGTTATAATTATAATGGTTCGACTGAATACGAAAAAGCAATCCGTTTCTTAGAGATAGGTTGTAATTGTGGTTGTTCAAAAAAGATTCCGAGAGAAAGGTTTGCCGAATTACGTGAAGCGTTTCAAGCTCTCTCTAGATCTGAACAAGATATATTTTTAATGGCCCAGCTGAAAGCAATGAATGGTGGAGAAATAACTGCCAGTCGACGTCTTAAAAA